GCACCAGAGAACACTCGACCTCGGGTGGAAGCCAGGGTCTGCTCTCTCGATCTTCGGCCATTATGGAGAACCACTCTTGCTTGAGGCTCTGGTGACCCTGGGGCCCTGAGGATGGGAGCCTCTCTCCCCTGGCTACCACCTGCCAGTTCCTGAACACGTCACACTCCCACCGTCCACAGCATCCCCCACCCCCACCCCAGCCACACCCATCTGGAGACTCTCCCTCAGCCCCTGCGTCCTGTCTGAGTCAGTCAAACTCCGCTTGACTCCTTGTTCTCCCCTGCTCGGTCTCCCACTTGCAGCACGTCAGGACCCTCATCCGTGTGGGCCCTTGAGGGCAGGGACGGCACCTGACGCTCGGGGGGGCCCCTGGAGGGTGTGAGTGACATGGGTGACCTGACTGACCTGAGGCCCTCTCAGCCGCAGGCCAAGGCCAGTCGGGGAGCTACCCTTCTCACAGCTGCGTGTGCCACTCACTGTTAGGTCAGAAACTGGTTCCACATACTTGCCTCTTGCTAGAACACCGTCCTCACTAGCTGGAGAGGAAAAATTGATAGAAATCCAGAAGAGCTGGCTCAGAGGTCTAAGTAAGACAGGCCAGACCCAGCTCGGGGGCAGAGAAAGTATGGACCAAGGGCCACTGAGCAGACGCCTCTTCTCCTTTCTCCTGCACGTTGCCACTGTAGCTATGAGAACTTCGGTGGACTGGGAACTTCTATATTAAAATAAATGTGCCCAGGGCCAGGAACAAGCCGACCTTCAGCTTCTGTGGCAGGTTTTTTTGTTTTGTTTTGCTTTTTGTTTTCCATCCTGTATGAATCTCTCCTTTATTTGAGAATGTGGTTTCTTAAAAATTCTGGGTTCAAAATCAGCCTACATTGTAGGTTTGAGGGAAGCAGGGTGGGAGGAGGGACATGTGCAAATGAGCTGTACACCTCTGTACTCCAAGACAGGGCCCCACGCTGCCTCTGTCCTGTGTCCCGTGTGGCCCTAGGGACAGTGTGTATTTACATAAACAAATTCATCGGCTTAAGATTAGGAGTGGCTTTAATAATGCACCGGCATGCTAGTGCTAGTTTGGAAAAAACCTCTAAATTATACCGTTTTACCTCCTAATGACTGCAAAGTTGTAGCAAAATCAGCAAACAGATGTAGGGATATCTACCTCCACGCCTGGGGCTCAGAGCAAAACCACCCTCGTCACCCACGGCGGAGAAAAACCCGGCGGGTGGTTCCTCAGAGTTGCTCAGGTCCAGGCTGTCAGCCAAGGAGCCCCAAGGAAGGGGTTTTTCTGGGTGCGTCTGCCCGGAAAGGCAGTGACTTTCGGCTACATTTGACTTCATCCCCACTTTTCGAAAGAAAGGGGGGGCCTCTGGAGTGTGGGGTGTGGGTAGGCTGTGTTGGCACAAAGGGGCGGGGAGGGAGAGGGGCCCCCAGTCCCATGGGCTGTGGTATGAAGGGCACCCCAGCTCCCCCACTGTCTGTTCAGTGCCATGCAAGCCACTGTTTTCTTCTCACCTGTTTTCCTATCCATAAAATAGGCTTCCTGAGTTTTTAGAGAGGTTTCTCCTAGCTACATTTGCCCTGAAGTCCTTTCTCCTCAGTTGGAAAATTAACTACAGTTAGAGCACACTTATGTGCAAGATCAAGAGAATGAAGAGGACCACACGGCCACAGCCCATTTGCTGGGCACAAAGTCTCGCCAGACCACGGTTCTCCCTGGGCTCTAGACCGTCAGGTGTAGGAGCGGCCTGGAGACTTGCCTTCTCTCGCCCGGGGAACACCAAGGCAGGACTGTTGTGGTGTATGTGTCTCAGCTTGACGACAACAATGATGGCACTAGAGCTGCACGAAGTTTTCCACAGAGATTTATTTTAAACCGTGGAGGCAACTTTGCATTGAGAGTCTTCTACATTGGTAATGGCCACAGGCATATTTCAGTTAAAGGGAACACAGTGAGAATGTGAGCAGAGTTTAAAAACATTCACAACATCAGCAGCATTGGAACGTAGAACTGGATACAGGCATCTTAACATTGTAAGCAGTCTTGCTCAGTCCACCTGCTCAGTCAGGAAGTCAATGTCAATGTCTCCAGTGGCAGAGAGCACGGCGAGGCCGGAAGGGTTCTGCTGGAATCGCATTTGAGAAATTTGTTCCGGCTTCGGGCTCATGACATTCTCAACCTGACCCCTTGGGGAATCTCATTTCAAAAAGAAAGAAAAAGATATCCATGAAGTAACATGCCTGCCGCAGCCAGGTTCTACGGGGGCCCCAGATGGACGGCGTGCAGCATGGAAGGGTCCGTTGCCCTGATTAGGAATGGCAGCAGGTAGGCAGGCAGGGACGGAGGGCTAGCACCTTCCCCACTGTCCAGTTAATAAGAGTTTTTGTACTTTTCAGATAAAGATTTTCTTTTGCGAAAAGACAGTACATGAAAAAAAATCATTTAAAAAGCAAGGCAAATAAATGGTACCCAACACAAATATATGAAGAGTACCACAGTTATCAGTGACACAAGTGTCTGGTCTGTACTCCAAATGGGTGACTGCTACTGACCTAAGGCTGCTATCTATTCAAATGGGAGGGAAAAAAACGTGTAAGCAAGTAAATGAAATAGGTTTTGCAGACCATTGTCCCTTTTTGTATTCGAGTTCACCCTCTCCGGATTCCCAGAGAACCAGGAGAAAAAAATATCAAGGTCAGATTCTCAATCTAACCTTGAAACCAACCTGCGGTTCCCTGCCACTTTATCTCCCAAGAAAGTCAGCTACCGTTATTAAGTCGCCAACGTGAACATGTTGAGGTATCTTATTTTTTAGTGAGGTGGTACCAAGACCAACTTCCACCTTCGCCATCTTTTCCAGACCTCTAGATGGAAAAACGCAGAAAGTAATTTCCTTGATGAGAAAGAACACAAAGACCTCCTGATCCTATTCGCCTGCCTGTCGGGAGTTAAGTCAGCCACTAGTCCAACATTAAACATTCGTGGAATGACAGGATCGCAGGACTGGAGGGGTCCCAAGAACCACCACCCAGTTCAGTCCCTCCTCCAGGCTTTAGCCACCCTCCCGTGTCTCTGACGACAACGACCGACTGTCTGCTCCAACAGGAACAATGCTCCCGGCATGTGAAACACAAAGGAGGGATCCCACTCCAATCTTGGACAGATCATATTCTTGGAGACTGCTTTTGCGTGTTAGGTCTAAACAGGCTTCTCAGTAGAAAGGATCATGTTTAAAGGCAAAATTACAGACTAAAACCCCTGAGGGTTGGTATGTATATAATTCTTGGTTATGAAATTGAGTTGAAGGTGAAAAATGAACACGAATATTCTGGAATTATCAAGTTATGCACATAAGAGAGCTGGGCAATGGAAGGAAAAGGCAAACGGAAGTAACGGCAAGAACCAGAAAGTGCCCCAAGCCTCGTGGGGGGATGCTGGGACGCTCCTGCTGGGCAGAGCCAGGTCTCGGAGGGGGCGCTGCCTGAGCCTCTTCCACGGCCTCTGGCCTGAGAAAAACGTTCCCTTGCATGTGGCGAGAGGCACTATGATGGGGATGTAGCACGTTTCCTACATTGTACTGAGAAGACCCATGAGTCGCAAGAATGATTTCAGGCCAGCAGGGAACTGGAGGGCGGCTGCCTGCTTAGGCACCAACAGGTTTGGCTCTGCGTATTCCTGTGATGCTGAAGTTGTCTAGAACAGTCTCCTATTACCTGTCATGGTCTTCCCTTTTTCAAAGGGGAGCAGCTGAGCCTGGCCCACCTGTGTCACGAGGAAATTAAATTAAATTAAATTAAATTCTCCCAGGCCAAGTCCACGCGTGTGGGGGCCTCCAGATCCACCTCACGGCCTCTGGGGTGGGGCCGTGCTTCCAGAAAGTTCAAAACTTAGTTGCCATGGGTCATATTAGGTAACCACCCACCACCCCAGGTCTTTCTAAAGGCAAACCACAACAAAAAACTTAGATACTAGCTTCAGTCTGCTGCAGGAAAACCCGACTCTCAAACTCCGAGGGAATCCCTCATGGTGCTCCATGTGCTGCCTCCCTCCGAGGTCGTGGGGAACCCCACACAGCATGCTGCTCCCTGCCATAGTGACAAGAGCTCAGGCCCCGGGACTTCAGCCGAGTACTTGATACCCTCTGGCAACTCCAACCACTTGTGGCCTCCGCGTACCAGGCTGATGCCAGACCATAGGCCTTTGTTTCTGTTTCGGCAGCCTGCAAGTCATTTCCCTCCTGGACTCACTCTAACCGCACCTTCACCCCTCGGCTCAGAAGTCCTTTCTGCTGGGGGACGGGCACTGTGTGCATAACTCCTGGGGTGGGCCCCACGCACACTTCTATCACTGAATGGACCCCACGGGACTGACGTAACCCATCCACTACCCCAAGTGGCCTCTGCCCAGGACAGGGAATGGGTGCCAGCCCCTCAAGGCCTAGTTTAGAGCCTGGCTCGTGGCAGACGGTCCACAAATGGCTGAAGTGGGCTACACTCCAGAAGATCACCTAGAGGATTGTGTTTAAAATGGACTTAATTTCTGTGTTTCCCAATCAACTTCATAGATGTCCACTGTCAGTTAAAATTTACCATTATTTTAAAGGACAGAAAAAGACTGTATTGGCGAAGTGTTTTCTTTTACTTTAAAATACATATCTTAGTGAATGAGATATCACTTATATACAATTAAACTATTAAAAAAGCAAAATCAAAGGAATCTTGTTTCATGACTATTTATGTCCAGTAACTTTGGTACAGAGTTTAGAGCGATCCCTTTACCTAAAAGTCAATGTCCAGGCTTTAAAAATTGATTGTTAAGCAAAAATAAATTATGCTTTTTAAAAAATGAATCTCAAACCATGAAAAGGTGATGTTCCCTAAGAAAAGCAAAGGCTGTAGACTCAGAGACTGGCTCAAGGCTGGCCTTCAGACAAACAGGGGAAGGTGAAATGTCAATGCCCTTAGATTTCCACCTGCATTGTTGGGTGGGGGCGGGGGCGGGGGCGGGGGCGTTCCACGAGGAAGAGTTTAGGAAGGAGTTTATGCTGATCAGGAGCTGCAAGAATTGCATCATTGCATAGTACCCACCCCTTCAGAAACAGGGCTGGGGCCAAAAGAAGTGTCAGATTCCCCTGTAAGAGGATCAGGCCTGATTCCTGAGAACCGCCTAGAGGACACTCGTCCTAGTCATGCCATTAGTAGTTAATGTCCAAAACCATGTGTTCCTGGAAAATTCTTTAAATCTTTTAGATTCTCCTGTTGACACCTCAGCTATATCTGACGGCCTGGGATGACCAAATGTTTTCTGCTTGGAACATTCTAGATCTCCGAAGATCCCTTCCAGTTTTGTGATTCTATGATTCCTTGAATAATTGAAACCATCAAATGAGAAAAACATCATTGACTGATCTCATATAAAAAGACATGCAATTCCAAGTACTTAATCTAAAACCACCTTAGCTACTGCGGACACAAACCCAGGCCGTGAAAGTTTCCAGTAACATCATTTCTTTGGAGAAACTGAAAGCCTGTGATCAGTTTTATCCTACGGAATGCAGAGCAAGTCTGCGCATGAGATGGGCAGCCCGGCCACTTTCCCAACATGGCCAATGTTAGGCATTACTTGCCAGAGCCACTGAAGTAACAGAGCAAAAATATATGTAAAGTGCAACTGCAAGAGGGCAAAACAAGAACTATGACCGTGAACCCAGCCAGGAGAAAAGCCAAGAGCTGGTTCCAGCTTTCACTCCCAGCAAGCGAAGCCTCCACTCCATACGATGCGGGGAAGACATGCAACACCAGCACTTCTCTCTCCGTGAGTTACAAAAAATGGTGGCGACATTCCTCATAAAACTCAAGAATGCACAGTATCATAAACACACACACCACTACTTTGCTAAGTACTTCTTAACAAAGTCAAGCACCCACACAGATAAGGAGAAAGAAAAGGGCAGAGCAGGGGATACTATGATGTCTCTGTGGTTTCTGACCGTGACTCTCATCACTAATGAGGTGTCAAGTGGTTTCAGCCTTGGAGCAGCGCTGTGGGGGCAGGACTGGGGAGGGGGAGAGGGCTGTAGTGAAGGGCAGGGTCCAGCCCAGAGCAACCGTGGTGGACATGCGTGACCAGCAGGGACAATCAGCTGCCCCAGTGGGGTGTGTGAGCTCCTCCAGACCTAAGTCAGATCCACATCGGGCTGGCTGGGCACTGCTCCACTGTCTACCTGACGCGGTCTCCCTCTCCGTATACAGGCCACACTCCGAACTTCGGAAAGGGAAAAGGGAGCAATTCATTTCCATTACTCGTTTCCCACACACGGTTCTCTGTTATGTACAACTTGGCACGTGGCTCCCAAGTTCCACCAGTGAGCTATGAAATAGGTATTTCAGTATTTTAAATTTCATTCCCTTTTTAAAGCTCTCTCACAATCATGCAGACAAGACTCAGCTTAGTTCTAACAGCTTTGACTGATGGCAAGCAGGGGGAGTAGGCGACAGCGAAGTGACAAGTGGTAATGGCTTCCATGCCTGAGTAAGTACACACGCGCATCCAACCTTAGACTGTGGTCACCTGAGCTGGTCTGATGGCTCAGGTGACACACAGGCTGCCCTGCACCAGGGCCGCACGGGGCACACCCACTGTACTCCCCAGGGTGTAGCAACAGAGCCATCTCTAGGAAGCCCCAGCCCTGGGAGCACACGGGTCAGAGGACAGAAGTATGGTGGGCAGTACTTTTTCCGGTTGGAAAAAAAAGTAATTAATAACCATGAGGGGGGAGAAAAAACAGGTTTCCAAAAACAAAAAAGAGAGAAAGAAATTGGAAGCATTTCAACACCACTGCCAAAAACCTATCAAATCAGAAGTGAACAAGATAATGCGGACAGCTTGGATAGCGAAGGGCAAGTAACTGGCCTGTTTCTCTGCAAGGCTTAATTGAACTTGGTGATCCTCAAGAGACTCGGGGGTCCCCTAACAGGAGAGGGTGAATGAGGTGGGATGTGTAAAATGCACACAATGGGGCAGGCTCATGGCACATACCTGCTGCAAACAGTTGAGAGTAAGATTTCTAAAAAGGACTTCAACATTCTGAGTTGAGTCACTACGCACAAGAATATTTCACTTTATCAAGTTTGACTGGATTCCCTTAAAATCAGAATTCTTCGGGTTCATTTTCTAAAGCCCTCTTTTTTCTTTTCTTTCTTTTTAACAAACCCCTCCCGGAAGCCAGTACGATGTGGGACTCGGTACCTTTTATGTCTCAGATCACAGAGTTTTAGGATGGAAGTGTGCAAAGTGTTCTGCTAAAATACGCAAAGATAAAAATCTTTAAATATCTAGTTTTTCAAGGGGAAGAAAATACAGATGGTGAGGAGTAGAGCAGGATATACTCTCGCAGGAAGGAGCACATTCAAATTCAGAGGTGATGTCACGTGGACAGACACATGTTAAAGACGCTTTTTTCTGAAGGACATGGGGTTTGCATTTTTTTGTTTTGTTGGATTTGTTTTGAACACCGTGAGGAAGAGCTACGCGAATCACATGAAAACATAAAAGGCTCAGAAGGCTCCAACGGAAGGAGAAATGATCCAGGCACTGTGAGTTGGAGCTCCGAGCTACAATCATCTGCTTCTGTGAGGACAGGGGTCGGGAGCAGCTTTCTCACAGCAAAGACAGAAAACTAGAGGCAGAAGCACAAGGTCGCGTCTACTCAGCCTGAACAGGAATGAGTTAGACCTTCCAAACGGACTACTCTTTGGGTGATTCAAGAAGTCAGTCGGAAAACCCACACGAATGGTTTCCTGAGTCTCTCAGCCGAAGAGGAGGTCTGTGAAAGCACAAACACTGAGAATCCAGAGTGTAAAGAGAAACACGTACACAGGCGGACATGAAGAGGAGGGGAGGTGACACAGAGAGAGGAAAAGGACGCCGAACACAGAATATGTGCCCAAGTGAAGGAAACATGGAAACGACTTTATAACGACCAAAAATATCCCTAACAGATGCCTCCCTCATCTCTCCAACACACGAAGTGACAATGAAAAGGAAGTGAGAAACACACACCAAGTAAAGACCCCACACAGAGTTTTCAGTATGCTCAGAACAATGCAGCACGGCCAGAGTGTATAAACCATTTGTTAAAAAAATATCTTCTTTTCTATTGTATGAACTGGTTGAAAGAGTCCCCTCGCCAGTGTCCACTCACTAGGTCCCATGCCAACTCAGCCCGGCTCGCGAGTTTCTCTCAGACTCTCACGTGTCTGCTGACAGCTTCAGTAATGATGCGGATTCCAATGACTGCTTCTTGAGTAAATACTATCTTTCTGATACTGGAGTGTCATCAAGACACGACTGGGGTCATATCCCATAACTGTGGAAAGGAACAGAAAACATAGGAGGAACTGAAATTCCCTTGTGTTGAGGATTAACAGCCCTTATGATTGAATACAAGTGAGCTTTTAATTAGCTAAGCAACTAAGTACTACACTAACGTGATTTCTAAATCTATAAAATGGTATTTTGCCATGACAATGTTTAACGTAGACTTTAAAACTGTGGCCGTGGGGAATTTTCATCTGGTGAGTGCAGAATCTGACAGATCAGATTCCCTTCTGGGACAAGAGAATGAGCATCTATCAGGCCCCCTGTGGGCCCCAGGGACATGCTGTTGTCCCTTCCAGACCTTCTCTTGTCCAGTCTTCCAAACAGTCTTCCAAGATGTCCCATTTTCAAAAATCAAGGACCCAAGATTCCCAGAGTTTATTTTTAAAACTTGCTTAAAGTCAAGGCCCCCAGTGGCTTTGAAAGGGGTTATTTTAACCACCACATCCTGCTGGTGCCTCCAAGAAGGGACCAGAGAGGGCCAAGCCCATGGCATAGCTGTGGCCCCTCCTGTCCGGGGCCTCTGCTGGGGTACCACATCCATCCAGCACGGTCCTCAGACAGACCCTGGAGGACTGCTTCTGGATTAATTGATCTCATGGGGAAAACATCTTGTTTATTATGTGCTGGCTTATTTGAGTCCTTCCTTTCATTCAAGGCTCAGCTCAAACCCCACTTCCTTCCTGAAGCCATCTCTAGCACCCCATCTCCCTCTACCGAGCTCTTAAGGTAATTCTTGCCTGTATCACTCTTTTGGCTGCTGAACATGTGACCTATTAGTAACCATCAAAAGGACAGAGTACGTCCCCAGTAGACAATGTGCTCCCTGCAGCCAAGAGCCGTGTCTGATCTTGGTGTGTGAGGCCAGGGCCCTGGCACGGGGCCTTGCACGTACTGGGGCCTCAAAAATGCTCACTGCTCACAGTGACCTTGTGAGCAGACCTCACCCAGTCCTGGGCTCCTGGACATTGACATAGGGCCAAAGAAGGAAAGCTTCTGAAAGAAGATGGCGCCCTACCTTAATAACCTTGTCAGTTCCAGAAGTCAGTAACCATCCTCTGGTGGCATCAAAATGCACATGCACGATGTTATGTTTGCTGTCGTGGAAGGTCGCTGTGGGTGCGCGTCTGGAAGGAGCAAAGCGAGTTTCCAAGAGTGAAGAGTGGTGACACATGAATGAAGGAAAGCTGCAGCCCAATGACCAAGACAGGTGCCTCACTTCAAAACTGCTCCTCACATCTACTTTTGGTTCCTGGGAACCTGTTAATGGTTTTTTTGTTTGTTTTTTTTTTTAAAGATTTATTTATTTGAGGGACGCCTGGGTGGCTCAGTTGGTTGGACAGCTGCCTTCGGCTCAGGTCATGATCCTGGAGTCCCGGGATCGAGTCCCGCATCAGACTCCCAGCTCCACGGGGAGTCTGCTTCTCTATCTGACAATCTCCTTGCTCATGTGCTCTCTCTCAAATAAATAAATAAAATCTTTAAAAAAAAAAAGATTTATTTATTTGAGAGAGAGAGAGAGAAAGAGAGAGAGTACAAACAGGAGGGGCAGAGGGTGAGGGAGAGAGACTTTCAAGCAGGCTCAGGACTCAATCCCCAACCATCAGATCACGGCTTGAGCCAAATCCAAGAGTCGGACACTTAACCAACTAAGCTACCAGGGCACCTTTTTTTTTTTCTTAAATATTTTTATATTTTTAAAATTTATTTATTTATTTATTTGTTTGTTTATTTGACACAGCAAGACAGAGAGAGGCAGAGGGAGAAGCAGGGTCCCCGCGGAGCAGGGAGCCCAATGTGGGACTTGGTATCTAAACCCTGGGATTATGACCTGAGCTGAAGGCAGAAGCTTAATGGACCCAGCAATCAAGGCACCTTTTTAAAAGAGGAAAGGATTCTTATCTTCTCCAAAATGGGAATGAGATGATGACATTTCCCAAAGTCTTACGGATTACTTGTCGCTCTGATAGAGCCTATGAAAAATCTCTACCCATGCCTTTGACAAATCTTAAAACAAACACCTCAGTGCTTTTGCTAAAGTCTGATCTCAGAAGTACCTACTGGTATAAAGTCTATCTGTACCTATTAAAAAAAAAAAAAAAGCACGCCTGTTAAAAAGCCGAGGATACTATTACTATTCTAATCAAAGGGCATCCATTCTTTCTCCTCCGTTTCCTGGTGTAACTGCAGATTTAGTTTCTCTATGGTCTTCTAACACTTGAACAAGTAAAACAATCTATAAACAAACATTGTTATTTGTTTTGTATCTTTTAACCTATGCATTGCTTAATAAGAAGGCCTGTCGACTGCCTAGGTGGTCTAGAAGCAGTGCAGAAGAGACAGAAGAAAGAGTGACATAGGAAGGGGGATAGGGACATGAGGAAGGAGACGGCTGGTCTGTCATCAGGCTTCATGGATGCCCACTCCTCAGCAGTGGGCTCTCTGAAGACAGTTTTACCTGTAGCTACGTCTGCAGAACAGACCTCCAGCATTACTTTAAAATATTTAAATGATCACTTTAAAATATTTAAAATTTACAATTTAGGTTTAATGTGTAGCTGCCTAGGCTCTCTGGGTCTGTGTCTCTAAAGTCTCTTGAAGCTCCCTAATTTAATGAAAAGATCGTTCTTATTAATTTCATCACGTATGATGAGTGGAAAATAATCAATGAACATAAATGCTTACTGATGCAAGGGCATCTTAATTTACATTTGATATGGATAAAGAAGAATGAAAAAAACACACACACCAGGGTTATCCATAAGAGAGTGCTTTGGTGTATTAACTGCCATGACTTTCCTTAAATGCTGACTTCCTCTGGTGCATTTGAAATACGTTTCTATTTATATGCTGTTTCAAGACACCCATCTAGCACTTGAAATGATTCTACTGTATACAAGGCAGGGGAATAGGTGGGGGAGAATCAGGCAGACGAGTTTCCTAGGAGATCCTGCTGTCATTCATTAAAAGGGGGACCTGTCGCAGAGGATTCTACCTACCTCTGGGCAGTCTGGAATGAGCGGCATTGAAGAGATAACACAAATGTGCCCTGCCACCCACACCCCCCCCAAAAGAGAGATAACACAAATGTGCCCTGCCACCCCCCCCCCCAAAAGCACACTGACATGCAGTAACCTAAGATCCTAGGTTAGCGGGCAAGACCATCAAGCATTTACCCTGGGGTTACCTAAAGTGGCTTAACTCTTCCTGAGAAAATGTGGACTCTGGAGCCTGTGGGCTGATTCAGCTCCTGTAAAAATACCAGCTTGGGCTAGAAAGTAAAGCCTGGGTGCCTGCAATCCAGAGCAGCCCTTAAGGAAATAAAGGGATAGCAGGGTTGGCTGGAAGAACACCTGCTGGCAGGGCACCTGCCCCTGGGGCGGGGAAGAGCACAGAAGACATGAATTCTTGATGTAGACTCTCTTTCCCTATCTGAAGAGAGAACACGGGTCTCTTGGGAAAAAGGAGGGCTCTGCCCATCGGCCACGGTCTGGGCATGAAACCAGCAGGAACTAGGGCGTTCATGGTCATGGCTGCAGGGCTGGATCACCTTCTCTCCCTCACTCCGCTAAGTCTGCGGACCGCTGGAACTCACTCTTCGTCGGTGATGGCCTCGTGGCAACTGTCACAGACTCTCACTTCAAACTCGAAGCCCATCAGAGGGATGGAGGAGCGCTTGGAGCTGCACTTGCCGCAGACAGCCTTCCCACACTTGCGGCAGTGGTGCTGGAGGGAGAGAGAGCACAGGCTCACAGGGCTCCTGCCGCCCGGCCCCACCTCATCGGTCCGGGCACGGCCGGCCGTCTGCATTCTGGTGAGGATGCTGAACAAGAGCACCGAAGAAACGGAAGGAACACACCAGCTCTGTTCTCTTTCTGGGCTCTTTATTCAAATGGAGAACTGCTGGATACACATCTGCTTGTGTCACCACCCCCAACTCCCGCCCTCCCTCCCAACCCTGGTCCCACTCTGCCCATCCTAGGTCCCTCCCAGCTCCGGTCAGTATGAACTCCAGAGGACCACCCAGTGGCCAGGTTATCTCAGACCTGGGTACGGAGGGGATGCCACCTCCAGAGACCATGCTGCTGGGTGAAGGACAGCGTGAATGCACCCCAGTTCAAGCTACTACCTATACTCGGGCTGTGCTCAAGCTAGGTGACTTACACTGCTTTCCTTGGGGAGGACCAAACCACGAATCGGACTGAAAATGCTGTATTATGAACGAGTAGCTCTAAACGACTAAAACTAAGAGATGGCAGGAAAGAAAGTGAAATTATTAAGAAGAAATAAATACTTCTTACATAAAGTCACGACTTGGTCCCACTATGAGCTAAGCACAATCCCTCTAATTTTAAGGTGTATTCCCATAGTAGCGACTAGAATTCTTTTTTTTTTTTTTTTTAAGATTTTATTTACTTATTTGACAGAGAGATAGAGAGCACAAGTAAGAGAGCAGCAGGCAGAGGGAGAGAGAGAGAAGCAGGCTCTCTGTTGAGCAGGGAGCCTGATGCGGAGCTGGATCCCAGGACCCTGAGATCATGACCTGAGCTGAAGGCAGCTGCTTAACTAACTGAGCCACTCAGGTGCCCAGTTGCCACCATAATTCTAAAAATGTACCCCTTAACTACTCGGAACAAATCACTATAGAAACAGAGTCCAGTAGGAATGAGCTGCAGTAGATAAGGGAATCCATTAATGAGCAGTCTTGGAGTGGCTCCAGGGTATGCCTGACCACCCCCACCCCCCACCCCCTGCCTGGGGGTGCTAGTTCTAAGCTCACAGGTGAAGCTGTTTCCACTCTATTCCATTTTGATGAGGGAATCCAGATCACCCACCTGTCTTAGGCCAATCTTCTTACTGTCCCACATCTGCTTGAAGTTCCAGAAGAAAGGCTGATCACACTTTTGGCAGGAATCGCTGTCCAACCATTCAGGGGTCTTATGAAATAAAGCACACAACAGATCACGTTGTAAAGTAGGGAGGACAACGGAGCCATTAACAGTGAGGAGAGTTACAGAATCCAGATATGTTCATGAGAAACAGAGGTGTGATTTCTCAGTCATTTAAGAAAACATTTACTGAATGCCTACTCTGTCTCGAGTGTGGGGAATGCAGCAATGATAAACGGAATCTCTCCCGTCACGGGGTACACAATTTATGAGGGAAATACAACAATATTTATATCATTCTTTAAGTAAGTGGAAGTGCAAAGACCTAAGGAGGGGAAGCAGAGTGCCAGGAGGGGGATGCCACAGGTGGTGGGGAGGGGGGTTTCAGGAACATTCAGGGGTGACTGGGCCAGGTCACTCACACACGGTTCTGACTGCCACATTGACGCTATCTCATATTCTCATATCACACATCATTAGACTTGCTCTGGCTACATACAGCCGTATATGTAACTGCACATTCCACAGGCACACAGCTCCCTGCGCCAGAAAATACACCCTGACCGCAGCGGGTACTCAGGGAGGCTGCCTGTCCACCATCTGCTCACGGCGGGGCCCAGCAGGTCTCAGCAGGCCTGGAGACGCCACTCCTTGCCTCATGGACCACACACTCTTCTGCCTCCGTTCACTATTTCCCAGCTCCATCGTGAGTACTTGAAACAATATCGAATGGGTTTTAAAAACGTGTTAAGCGTAAAGCTATTCTTCAGCAAATCTTTACAGATTATGCATATAGTGACTCTGCATCTGCTTCTAGAGTTTCACATTCAACTCTGTACAATTCGTCATTTGGCAGAGGGACAGATCTCTTTCCACATATCACTGAACAGGAACCTGGAAAACAGATGCAATCCCAGGGTTTCTCAAAACTGAGTTCCAGCGAACTCCAATTTGACTCACAGGACACTTATTATAAAGGAAGCCCAAGATCAAACCAGTCTGAGAAATGTGGCAAACAATGGTCTGTGCCCCCTCTCTACAAGATTATTTTTCTTGTAGCTTTCTTCTGTTGATGTAATCCTTTTCTGAAGAAGCCCTGTTACAGAACAGACTTGGGGAGTTAGCCTGTTCTCCCATCTACAAGCAGAAATGAACCTACAGCTACACACTGTCTCAAAAAAGAAAAGTAAAAAGGTGACATCTGAAAAGCTCCAATTCTTGGTCTAATTATTTTCTTAAAACCAGAGTTCTTAAGTAAGCCTTGATTTGCTTTGTAATTTTTAAGCTCTAATCAGTTTAAAGACTGCTTTAACAAAATAATACAGAGTTTTCAGGAAAAAAAAACAATTTATCCCTAAAAGACTTATCTATGTTGTGATTTTTCAAAAACACTTATGATTCAGGAAAATCAGGAGGATTTACAAAAAACTGTCACACACACACTCCTATATCTTTTATAAGGAAATATGCAGATTTAGGACATACATCAAATGCACTGAAGAGGGAAATGGGGGGCACCTGGGTGGCTTAGTGGGTTAAACCTCTGCCTTAAGCTCGGGTCATGATCTCAGGGTCCTGGGATCGAGCCCCGCATCGGGCTGTCTCCTCGGTGGGGAGCCTGCTTCTCTCTCTCTCTGTGCCTGCCTCTCTGCCTACTTGTGATCTCTCTCTGTCAAATAAGTAAATAAAAATCTTAAAAAAAAAAAAAAAGAGGGAAATGGAAGTAAGGCACAGGACAAAAGGGGAAAAAAATCAGTCTGTGTAGTCTGATTCCATTTTTTTTGTCCCAAAAAACAAACCCTGCACATGTGTTTTTGCAGAGGAAACTGTAACCACATTACTGATATTCCTGGGCTGGTGGTATTATTTAGGAGTAACGGACATGTTTTCTATTTGTTAAGGAGCACTCTGTAACTTTTCTACAGAGAATGTTTATCCATACTTCTAAAAAAGGATACAATTTTTGAAAAAATGGATTCCATTAACAATAGAAACACATGTTAAGCCTACAAGATAACGCACTCAGCCACACCATCTTCCATTTGTCCCCCCAACGCTGTCCCCATGGCCACGCCACCATCCCTGACTGCTTCTACTTGCGCACGAGCACCAGCACGCAGGGCATGACTTTTCTCGTTCACCTTGTCTTTTCTTGTGGTGTTTCCTGTCCCCATCAGAGCACAGCCAGGCCCCAGGGGTCTTTTAGCGCTATCTCCTTCCACAAACTCTCTGCTGAGAATGTTAGCCAAAAACAGAAGCACCCCTTCCTAAATGGCCAGCACTAATGTTCTATCCTACAGCAACTGTAATCACATCATTTATACCATTTAACAGTTTTCTGAAGTCTTCTCCCATTTATTTTTTCCTACCAGAAAGTCTATCAGTGCAGGGGTTGCTTTTTTACATGTCTCCGGCCTCTTGACGTAAGCACCACAAGCTCTGGCTGGGACCCGGAAGCCCCCCAGATACATCTCAGGGAATTTACATTTACAGAATATGACATTTGTAAAAGAAAAAAAAAATGGTTGGGACCCTCTCTACTCATTTGGGCTCTGAATCACCAGAAGAAGAGTCAAGACGGTCATCACCTGTAACTGCATGTCAAAGTGCCTAATTTAGGCAAGATGGCTCAAAGGACTGCCCATCAACTGACTAGGGTCCTCTCTGAAAAGCATCATTATCCTCCTTTGGGCCTCGATCCATCAATTTGGAGTCTGCGTGCACTGGGGGAAGAGAGCCCAGTGGTTTCCCCTCTCCTGGTCTAGTCAGTTAGGCCTGGGAAGAAGCGGGCGGGGAACAGACGAGCTTTGACTGTCCCTCACCCCGAGCAGGCTATCATGAAGGATCTGTAGGCTCACTGGCACCCTGGCTGGCATGGCCAAGAACACACTGTACCAATTCCCCTGCCTTTATACCGAAGGGACCTCGTGGTACTTTCAAAAGCAATATTCTATAATTCCCCACTTCCTAACAGTAATGATCATTTTAATTAGTTACTAATAGAACTCCCATGGATTTATGGTTTGAGCAAGTCAGGTTTTAATCTTCTTAAGCATTTAATTACTAGCATTTGAAAAGCATTACATGGTGGATAATAGCAACTACTCTCTTGAAATGAGATTGGGGTGAAGACATGGAAAGAAGTTGGGAAATTGCTTTGTCTTTTTAAAGTGCTGCTTTTCTAAGTCTTGCATCCTGCGAGGAAATACATTAGATGAATATACACCGTCAAAGGGAAAGTTCATCCAGCATAAGTCTAGGGAAATGAGAATACGACTAACTTCAAAGTCCTTGTCAAGGGTCTATTTAGTAAACATGTCCGTTGGTAAGATGTTCAAAGATGAAAAGTAAACTCATAAAAACAGAACGCCAGGAGAAAACTCAAATGTATTCTTAAAAAATGACAGTGTATATATTTGCATCTGGAGAACTGTTTGGAGAATGATTCATAAAGAAGCACAAAAACAGTTATTTCTGATATTTCTATTAATATCAACCTAAAGACTCTTACTTCATCAAATACCATTTCTCACACATTGGCCACCATTCCTGGCTAACACAAAACATGCGAGTCTTCTGTGTTCCTAGGGCACTTGAAGGGATAATTGTCTGAAAACAGATGACTCCCTCTTTCTCACCTGAACTTTGGTTATGAACGGAGCAACAGATTCAAAGTCTAAACACCTTCGTCTTGGTCGAAATTCTCATAGAATCACCATTACATGAATGTTACATGCCAATTTGGGAGGGGTGTAAAAAAAAAAAAAAGGAACTTCCTTTTCAACTAGAATCTTTTATTCTCTGACATTAACAGGTCTTATTTAACGGTTTCATCCTAAGAGAACTAAGAAATGAGCAGGAGGGGAGGCTGAGGCATTTTTCAGCCCAGCCAGAACTGCAGTGTCCAGCCTGGCAGCCATGGGAGTGGCCGGTGACCTACCGTTGACACCTACCTCCTGCCGCTCCACGTCCATGTTCCAGACCACGATCCCACCATCACCACCGCAGGAGATGAGCTGCCGTGTGTGCTGCGCATAAGAAAGGGCCTGGACTTTGTCACTGTGAAAGAAAGCCAGGGTTAGTGACAGGTCTGGAGAGCAAGGCGAGCAAGCCTTAAAGGCAGGAAGCCCGGCAAAGTCAATCAGTGTGCATGCTTCCCCGTAGCCCAGAGCACAGACCTTAGAAATCAGATGGAATCAAAATGTTTATTTAAGATGCTGAGGCCTCAGGAAGAGAGAGCCTTTGTCAGTTACCAACACTTGAGAAAAGCTGAGAGAAACCTGATTTTTGAACTTATTCTAAGGTGGGACTAGCTCCTTCCTTAATTAGATAAAATCTGTGGTACATGGCTATGCTGTATTTGTTCAAAAGCCATGATTTCACTTTTTTACCTTTTTTTTTTTTTTTAAAGGATCCTTTAAGAGTATTGGAGGTCATTCATTGAAGCGCCCACTGCACTGACCAGCCAGAGTCAGGTAAATCATGTTGGCTGAGGTGTGGAGCGTGTCATGGTGGCTTAAGTCCAGGCGCCATTTCTTGGTTCCAGGGTGGAGACAAAGCAGCAACAGACTTGAGTTTTGCTGACTCTCTATTTTCTCTAGTTTTCATTCCCTCTCTACTCATTTTGTGCTCGATTTTCCTCTCTAGTTCATACATGGCTGATGAATTATTCCCTCTTGGGGGTAGCTACCATGGAGAGTCCAGTTCTATGGTCTGACAACGTGGTGATCACTAACAAAAGGTTATAGACATTATTTTCCACTGGGTGAGGGAGCAGGGAATAGGGCCCCTTGGTTGTTTCTATTGGAATATTTTTCTCTTTTGAACTGAAATCAATTAAGAATTCTGTGCCCATTGGGAAGGAGAACAGCTCCTTGCAATCCGGACTGGTGATTTGTGTGCTTTCGTGTTTCCCTCTGATCTGGGGCTGAAGCTGTGGGACCGAAGCACACAATCTCTGTGTGTTTGTGACTACTGCTCAGAAAGGCTCTTCCCTCTCATGTCTGGAGTGCTAGCCTATTGCCAGAGGGCATCAATAACTTAGATTACAGTATTCTTTTTTTCTGATGTTTTCTTTTCTTTTTTTTTTTAGATTATGGTACTTTTTAGATTATAAGAACTTGTTCTGCTTGGCTTATAAAGACAAACAAGTGCTTACATAAATTGAATTTTCATAAACTTACTAGAAAAAAAAGAAAACTATGCCCCTAAAACTTTAAATTTACTAGACGTAAAAATTCTTTTACAGAAAACACTAACTCAGTAACATTTTAAGAATCTAAGTTCACAGAATTGAGGTGAACTCTTTGGCAAGTGAGATGGAAGTGATAAATTTTAAAACAGAGCTGTCTTTCTCTGATTCATCAGTGTTAAGTATGAGCAAATGTACATCTTATTTTACTTGGGTTGATTTCTTCTAAATAAATATATATATATATGCATACATATATATACACACATACATACAGTAACTGGCCAAATAAGCTACTATTATGCCTATATAATCCTATATATGAAAAATGTAAATTCATGTTCAACTCAACTAAATAATGGTTTTGGTAAACTTTTCATATAAATAGAAATTATGTTTTATAGCACATCAATTTAAAGATAATCCCCAAGATCTTCAAGCAACTTAAAGTGGATTACTCTAAGTAGAGCTAATTGATAATCATTGGATAACAACCTTAGATAATTTCTAAGTAAGTTAGAATACCGAACTTTGATTACAAAGCATAATATTGTTTATATATGTCTGCTTCTCATTTTTTAAATTACAGAGAGGGTATAACTTCGGTGAGTCATTTTCATGAACATGTTCATTTCTGCCACCTTAAGGAGACATAAAAGTGGTGTATCTTGCAGGAGAAATTTCTGTCATGTGTGTTCATGAACTTTGTTAGTCTGCTAAAACACTTGTATGTGACAGTTCTCAATTATCCACATCCTCCCTCTTCCCAATTTGCTCTATGAAATGTAAGTTAGTTATCTCTGGTTAATCAGTTAAAATGGGTGGTTGAGATTATATTGGGGCAATGATGGAAACAAGATACAACTATGTATGGGCTTTTGTTTTTAAAAGAGAAAATGGAGTAGTTTTATCTTAAAGCAATGGCTCTCAAACTTTTTCATCTTAGGATTCCTTTACAGTCTTAAAACTAATTTGAGGACACCAAAGAGCTTTGGTTTAAATAAGAAATTACCAATATTTATTGTATTTGAAATCAAAATGGAATTCTTAAAAAATACTGATTCAGGGGCGCCTGGGTGGCTCAGTGGGTTAAAGCCTCTGCCTTCGGCTCAGGTCATGATCCCAGGGTTCTGGGATTGAGCCACGCATCAGGCTCTCTGCTCAGCAGGGAGCCTGCTTCCCTTCCTCTCTCTCTCTGCCTATGTGATCTCTGTCTGTCAAATAAATAAATAAAATCTTTAAAAAAAAAATACTGATTCAGTTGAAAATAGCAATGAGGAATCCATTCTATTTTAATATAAATAACACATATTTGGTGAAAATTAACTCTATTTCCCAAGGTGACAAATTTGGATGAAATAAATGGCCTTGTTTAACATTTCTGCAAGTCTTTCTAATGTCTGGCTTAAGAGAAGAGAGACAGATACTCATCTCTTTCTGTATTTGTTCTGATACCACTCATCACGCAGCCTCTGGAAAACACCATTGTACATTTGTGAGAGACTATGCATGACAAAGGCACTTCTAAAGTAAAGTACAAATTTGTTCCAGAATATGAGAGAGAAAAATGAAGGACAAAACCTGGAAAGTGAATTTTATTTGCTTTGGTTTATAATACTCAAGTCTGAAAAAAGAGCCATAAAATGCATTAAAATCTTGGCACAGTTCCCTCAGTTTTGATGGCTTGTTTCCTTGCCTCACTGATGAATGCTTCTGACTACAATGCAAAAGGATATTCTTCACCTTCTATAAAATCTGCCTCGCTAGCAAAGATTCTGTGTGTCACCACATTATTTTCAGAGCTCTACGTTGACTTGGTTAAAGTCCCAAAAACACCTTGGACAACTCTTGATGATTTTGCCTTCCTAGGCCGTACCCTACATTTTGAAAAAATAAAATAAAAAATTTAGGATACTTTCTACACCTACAACTACCTTTGAGATTCCCTAGGGGATCCTTGAGAATTGTAAAGATCTACTCCTCTGCCTTATAAAAAGAGAGATACTATAAATAACTCTATTTGTTTGCCCTGTTGCTATTTTAAGAGTTTCGTGGGAAGAGTTAACAGATCAGAAGAGATGCTCGGCCTTCCCTAGGTCAGGTCAGTTTAGATAACAATTTATTAATATAAGTATTTCTGAAGTTGCATATTTTATGGGAGGACCCTGGAGGTTCATCAGAGCTCTCATTGTCTCTAATATGCTTTCCCCTCCAGGCAAATACTGATCAAAACTCTCAGGACATAGTTATGTAGGTTATCTCAATAGAGAATTTTATTCTTCTCCATTATGATTACTATTTGTCACAGTAAAAAAAAAAAAAAAAAAAAAAAAAAACAAAAAAAAAAACACCCAACAATATAGACAATTTCTGTTTTACTCTGATGCTTGCCTGATGGCTCGGCTATAAGCTACGGGCCAGAAAGGACAATCTTAGAGTTTCATGGAAAAGGGCTGTTATGTGCCAGGTATTTTAAAATATTGATATTTCGAAAGAATAGACTCTTGGGCAAAGGCTACAGAGTGGACATTGCTTAGGTAATTTTTAAGCTGTGCTAGTGGACTGAATCAGGATTTCCTTAGATTTTTGGACTCTTTAGTATGGATGCAAATGGCTTCATGAATGCAGACTGCTAAACAAGAACCAGCAGAACAAGAATTAATTATACGGGACTGGATGAACTAAAGACGGAAATTTTACTGTGGTCCTTTGTCTGGAATACTGTTGATGCTGTTTTAATGTTCTATTTTCTGGATATGGGAGGGTTCTTTTTCTCCTACTCTTTATCCTATCTCTAACCTACAATCTTATAAACTCTGCTTTTATAAGCTAAACAGAAGCATTTAAAAATGATGTCCAGGTTTCAATGATTCCCCCAGAATTCGAAAAGTATTACTGAACCCCCTTAATTTTAATGGCAAGATAAAATTATTTCATAGGTTCAATTAGCATCTATCCACAGGATATGGTTGGGCAACCAAGCCCTTACCTAGATTGTCCTATTAGAGAACGATGCTCATTTAATCAGATATGATTTGTCTCTTGAAATTAAGAAGCCAATGGCTACAAAGCTCTGCTAAGAAAACTGGCCTAGTACCTGGTGTGCAGAGGCCTGGACTTACAGGTGGTAAGGAAACTACCAGGAACCTGGCAAATGTTGGAAACCTCAAGGAGTTCAACCAAGTTGTAAATACTATGGTTGACCTAGGGCAGAGCATATTTTGGGCCTGGTTTCCTAATCTTGGAATAGCAAATAAAAGAGCCTTTGAAAAGCACAATCCAGGGTTCCTTATAAACATTTCCAGGCAGAAGTTAATTTTGTGGGCTCAATAGTTGTTTAATAATTCTCTACGGGTCTATACTTGCAAAGTAAACCAAGATGACCTACATGGTTAATTAACACTCTCACCACACAATGTCAATAATTAGGCCAAACCTTAGGAGACCAACCTTCTTCTGTGATCAAGAATAATCTCTGAGATTATTAGGATGAAAGGAGAGGACAGGGGAAGAACGATCAGGCAGACCGTGAAAGACTGAAATGGGCAAGAAGAAAATACTGGTATCTTCAGCAGAGGATTAGGGGGCATCAGGCACACCTGTCTCAGTTATGATTCTCTAGGGGCCTCCATCTTGCAGTACCTTTAACTGTGCTACTTCATAACTCTGTAAATGTTAATTTGGTATTATTGCAAATTAATCCTTCCAGTGAAGAGGGAACGAATCCCCATGCCCCGCCCCTCCCATGGAGGAAGCCATTTGTAAATCTACCTACAAATTCATTTCTGTTCTCCTCTGCCTATGTGTATGTCTGCTCTTTGGATTTTCCTTTGAACTGGTTGTAACATCTTACTAGTTCCTTTATTAA